TATTGGGTTCAATGGTTGATTTATTGTGAAGCTACATAGAGAGTCTAAGAATATAAAATATGTATAAAGTTTTAATATATAGTATCCCTTAAGAACAAATTTATTCATCATGATATTATACCGACCATAAACGGGTCGGGTTTTATTAATCAAATTAATATTCAAAGAATTCACGAAATCAAGCAAAAATGACAAATAAAATTCAAATGATAGAGGAAAATAAGGTTACAAAACTTCAAACAAATGTATTGTCACTCAACTCGAGTTGTTTGGTTAGATGTTTTTTTTTAATGTCCGATAATAAAACATATCTGTGGAGGATAGTACTATTAAAATTTTATATAAATTTTAGATAATTTAACTTATTTTTATTAATTCAAATTATTAACATAATTTTAATGAAAGATCTTCAATATACCAAATTCATTCCTGGCTTAAAAATATCTGGACCGAACCGGCCCCAAAAGTTTAAATCGGTAGGATATACCATTTTTTTTATACACATTCTCAGCACAAACTTGCCTAGGTTTTGTGACACTTCATCCAACATGACGGGCAAATTTTTTTTGCTATAAAACCCACAACATAACACACAAAATCATCACGAGCAAGTGATTGCACGTTAAACTACCACTGTAATGGCCCAGACCCACCGCTAGTCGATATTGTCTTCTTGGGGTTTTTCGTTTCGGGCTTCTCCTCAAGGCTTTAAAACGCGTCTACTAAGGAAAAGTTTCTACACCCCTATAAAGGGTTCCCAACCAATGTGAGATTCTCACAATCCACCCCCTTTCGGGGTCCAGCGTGTCTAGCTCGGATACCATTTGTAACGACGCAAGCCGACTACTAATAGATATTGTCCTTTTTGGACTTTCCGTTTCAGGCTTCCTCTCAAGGCTTTAAAAATGCGTATGCTAGGAAAATGTTTCCACGCCCTTATAAAAAGTGTTTTATTCTCCTCCACAACCAACGTGGGACATCACAACTACACCCTAAAAGTTTCCGACTACGAATCTTTTTATACATATTCCCAACGCGAAGTGCCCTAGCATTTATGTCACTCCATCCACCATAGGTGGCACGAAAGTTCATTTTCGAGCTATAAAATCCACAACCCACCACATAAAAAGTGAAAAATCACCACAAACAAGAGAGAAAATGGAAACCCTTGACCTAAAAGTAAGCATCAAAGAGTGTTCTATAGTTTATCCATCCCAAGAGACAGAAAAAAAGTGGTTGTTCTTAACGAACATAGACCAAATCCTTAATTTTAGCGTTGAAACACTCCATTTCTTTCCACCCCATAACCAGTTTCCACCCCATGTGGTCATTGAGAAGATCAAAGCCACTTTTTCTAAGCTTTTAGTGCCTTATCACTTCTTGGCTGGAAGGTTGAAGCCTAGCCATGAAAATGGCCGCTTGGAGATTGACTGCAATGGCGCTGGGGCTGGCTTTGTGGTGGCCTCAAGTGATATCACTTTAGATGAGATTGGAGATTTGGTCTACCCTAATCCTGCCTTTCAGCACTTGGTTTCTAAGTCTTTGGATGTCTTCGAGCCCGATGATCAGCCTCTCGTCATCGTTCAGGTACTTTTTCATCAACCCTACATTCTATCACTTTTTAAGGGTGTTCATAGGATCAGAGAATCCGACCAACCAAGATTATCTTTAACCCAACCAATGTTGGGTTAGATTGAATTTTTGAAAAATGGAAAATTCGAGACAGTTCGTTGGTTGACATTTTTTGGTTGGGTCAACCCAACGAACCCAAAAATATAGTTACAGCCTAACACTGTCATACTTTCAAATTCTTACGAAGATTAAAAATATTTGATATTTATAATCAACGGTGAATGTTTAATATTTGAATTTTATGAAATTTTAGTTATTAATATAACATGTATTATGGATGAGTAGAATTTTTTAGATAATGAGAAGAAGAGCTACCCGACAACCCGACCCGAAAATAGAGAGTTAGATTGTGTGAGAGTTGCTCGAATCACCAACTCAACCGATCCAAAATTTTGGGTCGTTCAGAAGATATCTCTAGTCCAACCCAACCCAACAAAATTTGTGTACACCACTAATTTTTTTGAGTTCAATCTCGAGTGAAAAATGGAACCATCAAACTTTGGTACGATAATTTGTATCTTATCTACTAAACTCGTACGAACGGGATAAGGCTACCCGTAAAATATGGGGCTGATCGAGGCTATTTTTGTAATATTTTATATGAATTTTATAGGTTACTTCTTTCAAGTGTGGTGGCTTTGCCATGGGCTTCTCAATGAACCACACCACACTCGACGGCTTGAGCTTCAAGATGTTCTTAGATAACTTTGCAGCTCTTGCTGATAACAAGCCCCTGGCTGTGACTCCATGCCATGACAGACGCCTCTTGGCCGCCCGATCCCCTCCACGTGTCACTTTCCCGCATCACGAACTCCTCAAGCTGCACACTCCACTGCCACCCTCTCCGGACTCATCAAACATCTCAGTCTTCAAAGACACTCCACAAGACCTTGACTTCAAGATCTTCAAGCTGACTGCTGCAGACATCGCCACCCTGAAGCTCAAGGCACCGTCCGCCACCGGCAGCGGAGACGAAGGTCACGTTGGCAAGAAGACCCGCGTCAGTGGATTCAATGTTGTCACCGCCCATGTGTGGCGGTGCAAGGCATTGTCCTTCGACGCAGAAAACAACCCTGAAAGATCGTCCACGTTGCTCTACGCTGTCGATATAAGGTTGTTAAATCACCACTTAACCTAAAAACTTGAGTTAATAGACTTTGAGTCAGAAAGTTGACGGGTTATGCTAAATTTAATATTTTGCTTACATTCTTAATAAAGGTCGAGACTGGTTCCGCCATTGCCAATGTCGTACTGTGGTAACGCAGTATTGACGGTGTATGCCACGGCTAAATGCAAGGAGTTGGAGAACGAGCCATTTTCGAGGGTGGTAGGGATGGTGGCGGAGGCAGCCGAGAGGATGACGGATGAGTATGCAAGATCTGCCATAGATTGGGGAGAGCTTTACAAGGGGTATCCAAATGGGGAGTTCTTGGTGTCTTCATGGTGGAGATTAGGGTTTGCAGAGGTTGAGTATCCATGGGGGAAGCCACGGTATAGCTGTCCTGTGGTGTGTCATAGAAAGGAAATCATATTGTTGTTTCCAGACATGAAAGAAAGTGGGAAGAACAATGGAGTGAATGTTTTGGTGGCTCTTCCTAAGAAGGAGATGGAGAAGTTCCAAGCTTTGTTCAAGGAGTTTATGGCTTAATTTATCATGAGCTATGAATATGATCAATGATGTATGGTTATGGACTAAGTTGATATTTATATAACAATAAATTTGTAAGATCACGTTGGAAGACTCAAAAGATTTTCAGTGTTCTCTCGTATATTATAACTTCTCAAAGAAAAAGAAATAACTAGTTGGATTCTTGCTTATAAAAGGTTGAGCTCGACTCAGCTTCCCTCACGCATAAACAACAGTTGCCACCACATCATGCTTCAGTTTGACTCGTTTCTTCGGTTTCTATCTCTCACTGTGAGATCCCACATCGATTGAAGAGGGGAATGAAATATTCCTTATAAGGGTGTGGAAACCTCTTCCTAGCATACGCGTTTTAAAACTGTGAGGCTGACGACGATAACAACGGGCTATAGCAGATAATATCTACTAGTGGTGGGTTGACTGTTACAAATGGTATTAGAGCCAGTCACGAGACAGTGCGAGACACTGGTTGGAGTAGTGCTAGATCCTCTCCACAGTAGGCGTGTTTTAAAACCTTGAGGGAAAACTCGGAAAAGAAAGCTCAAAGAGGACTATCTGCTAGTGGTGGGTTTAGACTCTTGCACTCATGAAGGTCAACTTCTCTCGAATAGGCATGTAGCCTCAAATGTTATCTCCTTTGTTGGAGTTTCCCTTGGTGTGCTCGTTCACAAGATCATAAAGTATCCATCTCTCCGCCACTGCTATAGATTGTTCGTGCTCCATCGTAGCTATCGTGGTAAAAATTTGGTACAATAGCTACAAACTCGTGATTTTGAAGGCTTGACACAATGTCCATGAGGATTAATGATATCATTTGGTGAGTATCAAATTTTGCCCTCTTCTTGAATTTAACAGGTTGATTATGAATCATATTCTAACTTTGAAAATTTTTATTGTGTTAGGTTCGAATTGTTTATTGAAACACATTGTTTAGTAGCTTCGGTGTGGGATTTAGGTTCAATCTCGACCACCACAACATGCAATATCTACCTCCCGTAGCATTTGCCCCATCTTTCAGGCCTTCAACTGGATGTCTCTAATCCACCGAAACATCGGATTTACGCAAATTTATGGTTGTGGACTCAGAACCAAAAGTGGTAGTTGGTGGAGTAACATTACAAATGGGCTCTAACCTAAGAATTTGAGCAAGAAGCACTCTTGCGCTTCTGAGCGGTAAACGGTTTAGCTCGGTTTAGCAGGATGGGTCGCCTTATTTTCTGAAAGAGATCGAGGGTAGGTTTCCCCAAACCTCCCTCAGAAGGACGAGTCTCAATTGAGATCCTACCATCAACCTCCATTCTATACTGCTATCCCACCAAGAAGCAGGCAAAATCCTTAGGGATGATTTATGTCAAAAGGTTCCTGACTACTTCTCAAGCCCCCAACATTTGAGGGGGGGAAAAAACTACGACATACTATCTTTAGTGTTTTATTTATACCAATTGAATCCGAACATATATTAGTTATTTAACCACAAGAAATTGTAAGTACAATTGTTCTACAAAAGAAACTGTCACAACCCAAATCCACCATTAGCAGATATTGTCTACTTGCTTTTACGTATAACCGTCAGTCTCACGGTTTTAAAACGCTTCTACTACGGAGAGATTTCCACACCCTATTAAAGGAATGTTTCGTTTCTCTCTCCAACCGATATGAAATATCTCAGAAACTATAACAGATACCGTCCGTTCTATGTAAAGTATCAGTTTACCGTACAAAATACTGAAATCATCGTTCTTACAACAGTTCATGCCATCTTATTACAAAGGCCTGTATCATCTAATGCTTGCCTCATACAGATACATGTTTATATGTATTATGTATAAAAATACGCTATTACAGGAAATGGTCAGAAAACCAAACATGCAAATGCATTTGGGTACAACGTTATACATGCTATAAATGGCGAAAAACAGTCAGAGTAGAGAGGAAGTATATACAGCTGATATTCAGTTTCTCATATGCTTTTGCCTCGGTCCAATAGTGCTGGTTCGGAATCGAATGGCCTGAAACAATTTGGTAAATGAGTCATTTCCTTCTGAAACATAAATTATGCGTGTGAACGTTCCGACCAGCAAGAACAGACGACGGATGGAACGAAAGGGCATCGTATACATTGGTTTTCCAATGCCTGAATACGATTATCGCCGTTGCTGGCACATTTGGCAGATGGTAAATGACTTGACATTTGCAAAGGTGCAATGTTCACAAGACCAATGGTCAGTATCATCAATGGTTCGACTCGAACCGCTAGCTCGGAATGCACTCATCTTGCCCTTGCCACCTTTGCTCCTACCGCCGCCGATGCTCTTCGAGCTTGCTGTTCTGCTGCAGGTACCCTGGGAGTCCACATCTGATAGACCATTCTCAAGAGCACGTACTAAATTCTCGAAGTAATTCCTAGTTACACTGTTATTGCAATCAATCGAAAAGTCGACAATGAGAAAAATTACGATATCGATATCTCTACCAATAAAGCTGGAAAGGTAACTTCAAGCAGTTGAAATGTTCAATGGCCTTCAAATTATAAGCATTGTAATAGTGACGATCGACAACAATCACCTGGTTAGTCCAGCAAGTTTGGTTCGGAACTCGTTAAATTCTCTTGAAGGACCATCAGCAGTTATGTAAGCTTGCAACTCCTTTTCAGCACATTGGTGGAGTCGTTCCAACCCGGACTCAGCCTCGCCTGTGTAAAAAACGAATCGATATCCCCGCCATTAATCAATCAGGTAAACGGAGCTGATGCAATTAGAACCAGCCTATCTAAGAATTTGAAAGAAAAGACAGACCTTGCAAGTACTCAAAAAACAGTCTCTTGGCATGTTCACGCTCAGGTAGATAATATCCATAGGCATAAGTCCATTTAAGAACTCGCCTACACTCGACAATCTGGAAACATAAAATTCGTGTTGGAAGTCGATAATAATGAACTATAGCAAGCAAACGATAACGACATACCTGTAGCCAAGCTTCGCTTATGAACTTTAGCTGTGATTCAGGCTGGCACTGAGTGTCACTTAACTTTTCCAGCTATAACATGAAGAACAAATTTGAGCAAAATGATGTTTGAAGGATGAAGATGTTTGGAACACAGTGAAATCATAGAAAATTTAATTTCTAGGCATTTAAACAAAAGAACCAATAAACTGGCATGCCCATCTATTAGCACAAAACCGTGTTGGGAAGTGGATGAGATAAATAAAAATATAAGAATTTCGGGCTTAAAAATCCCCTACGAAAACAATAGTCCAACTAATCCACAATATCGAGAGTGCATCGACTTACATGTACGGTTTGCATTTGATGGAGATCTGCAAGCGCCTTTTGCCTAGACTGCAGTTATGAAGCACGGTTAAGCTCCCGAGTTCAAGTATGCATGGTGAATACATAATGAGCTCAATTATGCTCAACTTTAAAACAATATTCAGAAATGCAAAACTATGAACGGAACTTATTTATCGATGAACAAGTCAACGGACCAACAAGCCATGAAACCACTACATGAAATGATAAAATTTGGATGAAAAGATGAGATGAACACTAATCATTCGTAACATAGAAATTGCAATTAGGAAACGATGTTAGCACTTTTATTTTATAAAAAGCCCCTAGATTTTTGTCGATAACTCGACCTTCTCATTTAAACTAAATTCTATATCAAATACAGGTTTTCTGAGGTCTCTCTTGCTATTTTTAGCTTCAACCAGCATCACATACTAGTTGGTTTAAATTATGTTCTTTTCCGGCTTTCAGATTGTGATGTCCCACATTGGTTGGAGAGGAGAACAAAACCCCCTTTATAAGGGTGTGGAAACCTTCCCTTTGCAGACATGTTTTAATGCCTTGAGGGAAAGTCCGAAAAGAAAGTCCAAAGAGGACAATATCTACTAGCGATGGATCTGGGTCGTCGTTACAAATAGTATCAGAGCCAGACACCGTACGATGTGCCAGCCTTCTTGCTGTTCCTCGAAGGGGGTAGACACGAAGCGATGTGTCAATAAGGACGCTGGGCCCCAAAGGGGGTGGATTTGGTGGCGGTCCCTCATCGATTGGAAAAAGGAAAAAATGCCAGCGAGGACGCTGGGCCCCGAAGGGGGTGGATTGTGATGTCCCACATTGATTAGGGAGGAGAACAAAACACCCTTTATAAGGGTGTGAAAACCTTCCCTTAGCAGACACGTTTTAAAGCCTTGAGGGGAAGCCCGAAAGGGAAAGCCCAAAGAGAACAATATCTACTAACGGTGGATAATAGATGGACCACCCCTGGCTCAAAAACATTTTGATAACCCCTTTCTTAAAGTCAATCTTAAAGATCACTCCTCTTTTCTCTCCCTATAGTCCTCAATGGCTTCATTAGCAATAAGCAATTGATCCAAATTTTGCCACCCTCCAATAAAAGCTCCCCCCCCCCCCC